AAACAACATGGAGTACAATTTTTGAAGCAAAGCAACACAACATGTAAACAGGACTGTAAGCTAACCATTATATTTAGTAAGAGGTGCTTTGATTGGCATTCAGAGCGCTTCAAAAAAGCATGACCAATGCCATATTTTGAAGCATACGTAAACAAGCCCTTACTGGTACATGTGGTTTAAATTGCAGTGATTGATTCACCTGCAATGAAAGGTAAATGCCACATTCACTGATTTATAAATATACAACCAAAGCGATAAAACATGTTTGTCTTTAACATTAATGTTATATTCATTATTGAATATTTTTATTTACGGTATTAGTATAAAGGATTTATATAGTGCCAACAGTTTGCGCAGCGCTTTACAATATAACGGGAGACAGTACAGTTATAATACAATAAAATACAAAAGGGTTAAGAGGGCCCTGCTCATCAGAGCATACAAATGAATACAATAAATTACTAACTTATTATACCTTATGCAGGGTGTATGAAAAATGTGCTTGTCCCACTTCCCCCATCTCAGTCTAAATGCAGCTAATACACTTTTATTCACTTCGACAAAAGCAGGTAACATAAATATACACCCACCGGTCTCTTTATTAGGTACACCTGTTCAATTGCTTGGTAACACTTGGGTTTACAGAGAATGGTCTAAAAAAGAAAATATTCAGTGAGCGGCAATTGTGTGGACAAAAATGCCTTGTTGATGTCAGAGGACAGAGGAGAATGGGCAGACTGGTTTGAGATGGTTACAACCAAGGTGTGCAGAATACCATCTCTGAACACACAACACATCGAATCTTGAAACAAATGGGCTACAGTCAGGGGCAGACTGACCATTTGGAAACTCGGGCACTGCCTGAGGGCCCGGGGTCAGTAGGGGGCCCCATGAGATGCCCCTGATACCTTTTTCATAGGCTTTTTTGAGTTTGGGCAAAGACACAGGGGCCCCATGATACCCTTTTCCCCTGGGGCCCCATGAGTTGTCAGTCCGCCCCTGGCTACAGCAGCAGAAGACCACACTGTGTACCACTCCTGTCAGCTAATAACAGGAATTGGATGCTACAATTCCCACAGATTCACCAAAATTGGACAATAGAAGATTGGAAAAACATTGCCTGGTCTGACGAATCTCAATTTCAGCTGCAACATTCAGATGGCAGGGTCAGAATTTGATGTAAACAACATGAAAGCATGGGTCCATCCTGTCTTGTGTCAATGGTTCAGGTTGGTGGTGGTGGTTTAATGGTGTGGGGGATATTTTCTTGGCACACTTTAGGCCCCTAAGTACCAATTGAGCATCGATTAAATGCCACAGCCTACCTGAGTATTGTAGCTGACCATGTCCATCCCTTTATGACTACAGTGTCCCGATCTTCTGATGGCTCCTTCCAGCAGGATAATGCACCATGTCACAAAGCTCAAATCATCTCAAGCTGGTTTCTTGAACATGACAATGAGTTCACTGTATTCCAATGGCCTCCACAGTCACCAGATCTCCATACAATAGAGCACCTTTGGGATGTGGTGGAATGGGAGATTTGCATCATGGATGCATAGCCGACAAATCTGCAGCAACTACGTGATGCTATCATGTCAATATGGAACAAAGTCTTCTGAATATTTCCAACACCTTGTTGAATCTATGCCATGAAGAATTAAGGCAGTTCTGAAGGCAAAAGGGGGTCCAACCCCATACTAGCAAGTTGTACCTAATAATGTGGCTGGTGAGTGTATGTATGTCAATTTGTTCACACTTGTGAATGGGGCCATTTGCAATTACCTGTGGAAGAATCATTGGTTTTTTCCTATGGCACCCCACAGATAATTGCAAATGGCCCTATTCACATGTGTGAATGGAGCCATACACTAATATGAGCCAAAGTTTGTGAACACCTGACCATCACACTTATACAAGCTTGTTGGTCAACCCATTCCAAAACAATAGACAATAATATGAAGTTTTCCCCTAACCTTTGTGTGTATAAAAAAAGCCTACTCCTCTGAGAAGGCTTTCCTCAAGATTTTGGGGTACATCTGTGGAACAACTAGAAGAGCATTTGTGAGGTCAGGTACTGAGATTAGAACTTTGATTGCTGTTGGTGTTTTAATTCCTTCCAATTCTTCACAAAATGGTTAAGTACTGTTGAGGTTCAAAACATAATTGTTTCAAGACTGTGATTTGGAAGACGCTGAAGCCAAAGGATAAAGATGACAGCCAGACACCATTTCAGTAGGAGCTTAGCAATGACAGCCCTCATATTTCTCTTATGACAGATTCCCTTTAAGTATGTATGACTATCCTCCCCCTTCCCAAGCACAATCTAAAAGAACATTGTAACAGTATACATATATTCCTGGATACATAATAGCAGCAGTGCAGACAGCATTAAGCACACACTTGAACACACAGCTACTGTAGCAACTATGTTAAAGACAGCTGGTTTATTTCTAACATTTAGGGGCCCCAAATAGTGGCTTTCAAACCACATGTAGTCTCAGCTGCCCTCAGTGTGGCCCCCAGCAGCCTCTGAGCAAGTGCTTAATGCCAGACTGTTCTCCTACGGTATTATACACTTGTCATCGCCATTAAGCTCCACTGAACTTAATTTTTAGAAATACATTTAATTAACCTCCCTAGCTGTCTTATTATGTCAATATTTTTGTGCTGAAAGCGGTACTTTTTTTGCATGGAAATATGTTGTTTTTTTATTGTAGGCCTGTAATTTTTAGGAATAGCTCACTGAAATCTGTCCGAACAAGAGTCTAGTAAACATCCCGGGTATGTTAAAATTTGAAACACGAAATCATAAATTATAATCTAATAAATAATCATAAAACATAATAATATAATAATAAATGTAATTCAATAATGTAATCAAACTAAAAACACTGAAATTTGAAATATAACGCCAAGTTCGCACATCAGTGAGCAAAGTCGTAAAATCGTTTTTTCAGTGTCTGATGACAAAATTTATCCACGAATCATTATCACTCAATTCTGCAAATGGTTCTTAGTTACTATCGCTGTTCTCTAGCTGGTCTAAAACCGCTTTTGACCTAAAGGGACGCTTTTTGGACGCCATGGACGTTTCTCAGTTTCCAGGCAGAAAGAACAGTAAAAATGCAGGCAGGGCACAGGACAAGTACTCGGGACAAAATGTATGTGAAATGGTTTGATACAGGAATGTTTTACTATGTGATTTTAGTGTATTTAGTGAATGTCACTTTTAAAATTTTTGAATTTCCCGCTGATTCTGTCCCCCGTATGTTCTGTACGTCCCGACGCTCGCAGGGAACGGAGCCCGAAAGACGGATGCCGGCATCGGCCAGAGGAGATGGCCGGGGGCGCTGCAGGGGGGACATTGCGGGAGTGAAGGACAAGGTAAGTGATCGAGGGAATCCCAGAGCAACAAAACAGGGTAATCCAGAGTGTAGCTCGGGGATACTGCTTTTGGCACTGATAATTAACCCCGAGCTACACTCGGGAATACCGCCAGGGAGGTTAATTAGCAATGTTTTTTAACCTGTGTTTTCCATATTAATTTTACTTTTCTTTTTCATATTTCATTCATATTTCAATATTACTTTTCTCTTTCAAACATTGCCATGTCACAGAGATGACTCTGAATGCCTTCACAGATAGGAATATACAGTAGGAGAGCACAGAATTATCAGCTCACAACATGTATGGCAGGATAAACAGGTATGTTTAAAGTGGTTGCAAACCTTTACATATACCCAGTGAAAAGCCTGGCCTCAGGTAATACACAGAGATTAAACAAATCCTCCTATATAAATTGCATCTATCTGCAGTCTTCTCTCCTCTACATCCGTTCAAAGCAAAGAATTTACACAGCATATCTCAGCTCCAGAAAGCAGGGGGTGAGGATCTGATGTTGCATACTTCACAGCATAGAGAAGGGAGCTGAGTGTAATCTGAGACTGGAGCAGAGGGAATGGACACTCCCGCCCCACCCCTACACAGGCTCATAGGGAAATATGCATAGCTGAGGCTGTGAATCACCTCCTGTGTGTTATGCCCCGAACACACTATAAGAAAATCGTATGAAAATTTTCGTACGAGGACCAATCGTCCGATAATCGGATCATTAGTACACAGCTTTCGAGAGTCACGATAATTCGTATGACAATATCCAAAGGGACAAGCACGAAAATTTTACTTGTACGGTACCAGATTGTACGATTTTCATTTAATCAGTACAGTAGTCGTCCGAAAATACAATACAAATACAATACAATACATGACATCACTTTCGAAATTCTTTTCTTTCATAGGAGAATTTTCGTATCTTTAGTAACCTTTTCACTTATGATGTGAGACTAGCAGGTGAAAAAAAATGGGCAATCGTTCATCCGATATTCTCATCGTGTGTACAGGGCTTTAGTAGGGGGCTGGGACATCTCCCTGGATTGTCTGGTGTCAGGATAGACTGTCAGAAGTGAGTCGTGCCAATAGCTGGTGAATGACCGGCAGAAATCACACTCGGTGCTTCAGATTGAGGCGAGTACACATTATAGAAGGATATGCCTTTTCAATTTTTAATTTCAGAGATGTACAACCACATTAGACATGTTAGAAAGGATATAGGAAAATGTTTTTAATGGTATATTTAAGCCTCGGTTCGCACTAGTGCCGCTCACTCGTTTTTCAGTGCATTTTTACTTGTGTTTTGCTGCATTTTCAGGCTTTTTTTGTAGGATGAGGAGACTGGTCATTAAACCCCAAACCCAAAATCGCACCAAAATCGCATGAGCATGTGTTTTTCATGCACTTTTCATGTACTCCCATTTAAATCTATAGGGCTAAAAATGCACTAGGCTACATCAAAAGAAGCACCAGTACCTTTTCACAACATGCACTGCATCATGTTACATTGATGTGAACAGGTACCATAGAGAACATGCTTTCCATTGTTGTGCATTGCAGCACAATGGCAGATGCAAGAGAAGTCACATGAGCAGGGGCGGACTGACCATTTGGGCACTCAGGCACTGCCCGAGGGCCCAGAGTCAGTAGGGGGCCCCATGAGATGCCCTGGTACCTTTCATAGGCTTTTTTTTGGGTGCGGTTTAAGTGTGGGCGAGGACACAGGGGCCCCATGATCCCTTATTGCCCGGGGGCCCCATGAGTTGTCAGTCCGCCCCTGCACATGAGTGTGAACAGGGCAAAAAAGAGAAGTTCATTGCAAGGGTTTACATACACTTTAACTTGTTTCTTTAGCTGTTCTCGTTTTTAAACATCTGTCTGCCTGTGGTATTTATTTAGGTCTAGTATACTTTATTAAAGTGGTTGTAAAGGGGATTTTTTTTTTATCTTCAGTTCCAGAAGATTTTACCCCATTTATGACCAGGCCATTTGTTACTATTTGCAAAGGAGCTGTTTTAACTGGCAATTGAGCGGTCATGCAATGCTGTAATCAAATGAAATGTATATAATTTTTTTCACACAAATGGAGCTTTCTTTTGGTGGGTATTTGATAACTGCTGTTTTTTTTTATTTTTTGCAATATAAACAAAAAAGACCAAACATTTTGAAAAAAAAAAAAATATTTTTTACTTTCTGCTGTAAAACATACTGTACCCAATACAAAAATTAAAAAAATAAAATTTCTTCATAAATTTAGACCAAAATGTATTCTGCTACATGTCTTTGGTAAAGAAAAAAATCCCAAAATGTGTATATTGATTGGTTTACATGAACGTTATAGCATCTACAAACTATGGTATATGTATTGGAATTGTTTTTTAATACTACTAATGGGACTTATAATGGGACTGCGATAGTATAGCGGGCAATCTGACACTAAGTGACGCTGGGGGGAGCTAACTGATTGCCACTGACATAACCAGTGACATTAATACAGTGATCAGTGATAATACAATATATTGTCACTGTACTAATGGCACTGGCTGGGAAGGGGTTAACATCTTGGGCAAGTGAGGGGTTAAAAGTGTGCCTAACAATGTATAATATGTGTAAAGTGTGCCAGTAAGAGATCTCTTTGTTTCTTGTCCCCTGCTCCCTGTGATTGTCAACACAGGGCTCTGGGCTGGGACTGGACACAGTTGATCAGCAGGTCCCGGCCATGAATCATTGTCCAGGATTTACTGACAGCGGGGGGGGGGGGGGGGATTGAAGGCTTGCACCCTATACCTGAGAGGAAAGGAAGTCATTCCACTTGCATGGGCCGCCCATCCACACTACAGTGCAGGAAAAAAATCATTAAAATAATAAAATAAATATATTATTATACTTACCTGCTCTGTACAATGGCATTACTCACAGCGTCCCGGAACCTCCTCTTCTGGGGTTCCCGGCAGTACTCTTGATTTCTCATCTTCTGTGTGTGCCACCATAGGAAGCGGCTTCCGATGGTGGCACAACTGCGGGCTCACATCCATAGACACACACAGCACAGCTCGGCCCCCTGCTCCCTCTTCAAAGGATTTGATTGACAGCAGCAGGAGCCACTGCTGTCTCTAAGCTGTGAGAAGAGAGAGTGATCGACCAGCTCTGCGTCAGTCAGGCACAGCACTGGATGGAGATAGGACTCAAGTAAGTATAAAGGGAGGTGAGGGAGCGATACAACTAGTGGGACATTTTTTACCTTACCAGGGAATGCATTAAGCTAAAAAAAAACTCTATCCTTTAGAACCACTTTACAGTCAGGTCCATAAATATTGGGACATGGACACAATTCTAACATTTTTGGCTCTATACACCACCACAATGGTTTTGAAATGAAACGAACAAGATGTGCTTTAACTGCAGACTGTCAGCTTAATTTGAGGGTATTTACATCCAAATCAGGTGAACGGTGTAGGAATTACAACAGTTTGCATATGTGCCTCCCACCTGTTAAGGGACCAAAAGTAATGGGACAATTGGCTTCTCAGCTGTTCCATGGCCAGGTGTGTGTTATTCCCTCATTATCCCAATTACAATGAGAAGATAAAAGGTCCAGAGTTCATTTCAAGTGTGCTATTTGCATTTGGAATCTGTTGCTGTCAACTCTCAAGATGAGATCCAAATCCATTGTGTGGTGGTGTATAGAGCCAAACATGTTAGAATTGTGTCGATGTCCCAATATTTATGGACCTGACTGTATTTCCAGCTGTATGCACACTGCACTGCCTTTCTTTCGGGCATTTATAGCTTAATCGTGTTTTGCATGTTTTATCATTTGTTGGACACAAAAAAAGAAGAGTTAAAGTAACGATCCATATCCTAAAATGTGTTATGTCACAAAGGCATGCATGCCACATGGAGCCTTTGGAACTCCCTGCTAGACCTGTGTGATATCAAAGGCATGCAGCAGGGAGGTCGGAGCTGGAGGTAGATGTCTTAGAATTGTACGACATCAAAAAGGTCTTCCGCTTGACTCAACACACAGGGGAGTAGAATGCACAGATCTCCCTGGTAATGTGGCCAGGCTACACTTACAGAATAACCAGGTAACAGTGAACTGTAGGCTCAGCTTAGAAGATATTAAATCACACAAATCTGGTTGAAGATAAAGACCTAATGTCCAAATCTGCCACTTTGTATAAACAGTTTTCAGGACAAGAGGTAAGGAATCTGAGGATAGATTCAGGTTTATCCTTTACATATTAATAAAAATAAGGAGCATTTCATATATTTCATATATGGTTGTGATGGTAGTCGGGCTTTTTTTTTTTTGAGCGGGAACGTGGGGGAATTAATGTATGTAATGGTAAGGAATTCTGGGGTGTGCTGGAGGGACTATTGATGCTGGCTGCTGGGGATCTATTGTTGCTGGGGTATCTATTTTTGTGGGGGGTTTATTGTGCTGCAGAGGTCTATTGATGTTGGTGGGGATCTATTATTGCTGGAGGTAAGTCTTATGTTTCTGGGGGTCAATTGTTGATGAAATGGATCTACTGCGGAGGGGTCTATTATTGCTGACTGCTGGGGGGTCTATTAATGCTGGCTGAGGGGGGGATCCGTTGTTGCTGGGGTATCAGGTCTGTTGTTGTTGGCTGCAGGGGATCTATTTGACTGCTTTTCTTGTTATCATTGAAAAAATTCCATACAAATTACTTAGCACAATCAAAATGATACTTGGTTCCAGGGGCGGACTGCCAACTCATGGGGCCCCCGGGGCAATAGGGGATCATGGGGCCCCTGTGTCCTTGCCCAAACTCAAAAAAGCCTATGAAAAAGGTACCAGGGGCATCTCATGGGGCCCCCTACTGACCCCGGGCCCTTGAGCAGTGCCTGAGTTTCCAAATGGTTCCTGCGCTGGAACACACTGGAATTGACTGCTCTGGTGTGAAATATGCCATTGTAACCCATATATTCTACTGTCTATGAGTTTTTGATGCACTGGACTGCATCTGGTGTGAACTGGCCCTAAATAAGGACATGTGCGTTCCGATGCGTTTCTGGTACATTTAGGTGCTTTCCCGTGTGTTTTTTATGCCTTTTATAGTGTTCCAGTACTGAAAAATGCAGCATGTTCTACTTTTTTTTCTGGAGCGCCGTGAACTGACCACACTGGTATGAACTATGCCTTTGGAATCTATATAACCTACTATCCATTCATTTTTATGGCAGAAAAAATCCACACAGGACTGCATGTGGTGTGAACCAGCCCTTAGGCAAAGAGGAGAGATACTGTATCTGTACTGAGCTTTCCCGGAGTTCTGTTAGAAGGCAATTAAAATGGAGTGCACTTCTTGAAATATAAAATTTGTGCCACAGAATATGTAATTCAAAAAAAGCACAAGAAAAACTTATTAAAAAGTAAATATTTCCATTGTGTGATTTATTTATATGCAAGTTGTGCACCTCTGTATTATTGGTCAAAATGATGGAATCTCACCTTTTGAGTAAGTCAGTCATTACCATAATGGTACTAAACTGGACCTTGGGCTATACTGCACAAACCTAAGGGTCCATTCACACTAAAACAATCCTTTTTTTAACTTTCTTTTTTTATTGAAATTGTACACATCCACTTTATTAGGTACAGATTTGTAACATAAATCGATGATCAGCCAATCACATGGCAGCAACTCAATGCATTTAGACATCTAGACGTGCTGAAGATGACTTGCTAAAGTTCAAACCAAGCATCAGAAAGTGGAAAAAAGGGGATTTAAGTGACTTTGAACATGGCATGGTTGTTGGTGCCAGACAGACTGGTCTGAGTATTTCAAAACCTGCTGATCTACTGGGATTTTCATGCACAACCATCTCTAGGGTTTACAGAGAATGGTCCAAAAAAGAGAAAATATCCAGTGAGCAGTAGTTGTGTGGGTGCAAATGCCTTGTTGATGTCAGAGGTCAGAGGTGAATGGACAGACTGGTTGCTGAGACATTCAGATGGTAGGGTCAGAATTTGGCGTAAACAACACAAAAGCATGGATCCATCCTGCCTTGTATCAATGGTTCAGGCTGGCGATGGTGCTGTAATGTTGTGAGGGATATTTTCTTGGCACTAGCAAGTTGTACCTAATAAAGTGGCAGGTGAGTGTATATCATAGACAGAAAATGATAAGGTACAATATTCCAAAAAGTGAGAACGAATTAACATATGCACCAAGACAACAATACACAATGGGCAACAATGTCCAAAAGAGATTTCCATAAGGCCGAGCGTGTTCCAAAAAGAATGGGTTAATCAGGCTAAATATACATATCTAATACATGACAGCTGTATAACAAAAAAAGACAATCATGTCTAGAAAATTATCGGCCCGTAATGGCCTATTACTGTAGATAGCGGACGAGATCCATAGTAGAAAGTCTTGCAGAGCTACCTTGGTAACAACAAGAGAGAAAAGAGTACAGGAAGAAAAAGGCAACAAGTGATAAAGAAGCAAGAGATGATAAACTTCACCCTACCAGGCACCCATATAAAACCTTATATAGGTAAATCACCCTAACGTGATTTTTAAGGGAAAGGTTGTGGTTCCAAAAGATGCCAGGGACGCCCGATCTTGTTGAATCTTGAAATCGTATTATTCAAACAAACCTTGAAGTCTTTTTAAAGAGACAAACCCTGAAAAATGTACATATAGTACAGATACAGTATGTATTGATTTTTTTTTTTATTATATTTATTTTGACCACACATACAAGATTATATAAGATAGGATTATACCTCCTAGGAGTGAAGATATGAAGGCG